TTTTCGCGAATTTGAACGATCTGAGAATACAGTTTTACTCAGAATTCGACGCTGATTCCGAATATGTATGACTCATTGCGTAATTTTTTGGGCACGAAACCTTACATTCTGCCACTTGTCCTTTTAGAAATTTAACCTTATATAGTTTTGAGGATGTATATCGGCCAGTCCACGTAATGGTAGACTTTTATGTCAAAGTTGAAGTGCAAATGCGGTTAAAAGTAACACTACCATGTTGTAGAGGATAGTCAATAATGTATAAAAGTGCATTGTTTGATCGTCATTTTGAGTTCACTTTTTAGAGAAAAAGGCTTCTAAACAAATGGCGTCTTGAACCTTACAATAACAGCGTATCGATGTGTTTTTTTAATTTTTATTCGGGACAAAAGCTGATTGTTTCTGTGTTCCATTTGTGACTCGTGACGAACGTAGAACAGATAAACTTATTTTTCTCGTAAAAGAAATTAATTTCTGTGCTCACATGACTGAGACATCTGAATTTGTAAACGTTGTATTTTGAACAGGTGATTCCGCCACGAAATTTCTTCGCAATTTTATTTTTGTCGCACTTGTGATCTTTGAGGAAGATCAAGTCACCTTCCTAATAACAGTTTTTCGCGCTCTATCTAATGCACTGATTTGTTTTGACTCAAATATTTTTTGTTAAATAAAACAGCGTGATGGAATCACACATCATCGACGAAATTTGTTTTTACGAAAAAACAAACTTCTTTCTTTTCTCATCTTTTTGTCTCTTTAAGTTGTCCTGAATTTACCAGATGCAGTTTAAATTGTTTCTCTTAATTGCGCACAACATATCTCGCCTTTTCTTACGCGTTCCCGACTCCCGCTATGATGTACAGTTCAGATAACTATTCTAGCTATTATCTTTCACAAGTATTCATGCCTTTGCGTGTCGTCGAAAGAAGTCAAAGATATCGGGAGCGTTTGAGACAAAAAATTGAGCAATGTATGCGGTTGCCAAAGTTTCATTTTACTCTGTAAGATCGCTAGGAGGACTCGAGAAAACCTTCAAATACCGCAGTTTGATGGAATTTTGTTGAGGTCACTAAAAAATAGCTCATTTACGTCTGAGTTGAACGACGTGTTTGGCAGCTCTCCATGATATTTCCTTGCTGAAACAGGCGGCTTTTACCAAATGTCTTGTAGCAGGTTGACTTGAGACAGTTTCTTTGGATCGACTTCTCATAAAAGTCGCCTACTCAGGAAGAAACGTCTCCCTACGCATGGGGAGCTGTCGAACACCTCATTCAGCTAAGAATTAGATGGGATACTTTTTGGCGTCCTCAACAAAGTTTCATCAAACTACAGTATTTGAAGGTTTACTAGAGTCCTCCTAGAGATCCTCCGGAGTTTTTGATGAAACTTTGGCAATCGCCCATGCTTGTTCAATTTTTCAAGCGCTTAAAATAAAACAGCGTGACGGACTCACACATCATCGACGAAGTTTGTTTTTAAGCTATAGACTGGTATAGGTTTTAGCATGTTCCTAGGTCTCTCTATTTATGAATTAAGAAAAGATGAAGCTTCATCTTTTTTTAGTTTTTAATTTTAATTCAAAAACTCAAAATACGAGTCGGAAATCTGAGTATTTTTTAAAGTACGGTCTAAACACAATGGCGATTTTGAGATATTTTTAACAGTTCTAGTTTTTACAAGAAAATTAACTTATTTATTCAAGTTCATGAGTGAAAAACTACGATTTTCTAGAAAATCTGCTTAGACCTGTTTTGAAAAATTTCGAGACCGCCATTCGAAAGAGCTTGGCTTCAGACTCTTAAACACTGAGTTTTATCGAAATCGGCTATGCACATTATGAGTTTTCTTTCAAAAACTTTCTCATGGTACACACCTATTGCAGGAACTGTGGCTAATGGTGTGAAAGAATTGAAAAACGGCAGGCCGAAAACCATGTTTTCACTGTTTTTTGTTAGAAAAATACACATTATATGTTTTGATTGAGATATTACTCGCTGTACGAACAAATAAAACATTGAAAAAAACGTAGTCATTTTGTGAAACGTGATTCCACCATGACACTCTTTTCGTACTGGCCATGCAGTCTCAAACTTTTATTCAATTTTCCTTCTTTCTTCAAATTGCTCAGTAGATCTGCTACAAGTTTCCCAGCAAACATTTTTTCGTAGGTCATTGTGCAGAATTTTCACATCTTTGGACACAGCTAAAAGAGCTTGTCCATTTTTCGTGATTTCGCCACGATCTCTATCTCTTTAATAAAATCGAAGCTGCGCAACCAAACTGAACGATATTTTCAGGTATTACAGAGCACATGGCACACATGTAGAAAAACATTCCGACCCTTCATCTTTTAAAATGACCGAGAAAAGTCAAATTTAAAATGAAAAAACGTGATTCCACCACGATTGGACAGGCCGCTTTACAATAAAAACCGTCAACTGTACAATATTTAGCATCAAATTCTACCCATTGTACATCCAGTTGAGCTATTTCAAAACCTGAGCTTCATTAGGAAAAAATACAGTAAGTAGTCGCTTACGCTCGTTGTGAATTTTGACGTTTTAGCAGCAGATCTTTTGTAAAGACTTGTACAATTAATTTAAATACTTCCAATTCATTGTACAACTCGAGAACTATGCTATACACTACGTTTTTCAGACAGAGAAACATGGCCTGATGTGTTTTCGGAAACAAGATTCCATCAACTACAAGTTTCTTAACCCTACTAAACAGTTTAAAGATCATGTGATTCCCGCTAAAGCTCGGGATTCTCAGAAAGCCATTTTACAAATGTTTTGTCCATTTCTCACGAGAAAGAAATCTGTGAACAATTACAAACAATAATGCTGAGCCATCCGAATATTGTACTATCGTTTCTACGGACAGGCCATTCCCCTGAAGTAGTGAAGTTTTCCAGAAAAACACTATAGAAGGAATCTCACCAGAAAAGGTTTTTGAAGTATTATTCAACGTTTCGAATGACATGAAACGTTTTAATGGATCTCAAAAATGTAATTAGACGTTCCCGACTACTGTACTACTACTCTCAGACCTTCAGCTCTACTGGAAATCCTGTAAAATCTAGAGAAATCCCTACTTAGATGCTTCCACATGGTAGACGAAAATGAAAACTAGAATTAAATACATACAGTTTTCTACGTTTCAGAAATACTGACTATATTCCAAAAACACTAAAAAATAATGAAAACCTTTCTTAACGAGGCATAATTGTAGCCCGCAAATTTCTAATTAAAATGAGACATCTTCCAGCTCTACGCGACCTTCTTTCTTTGCAGAGTTATAGAATTTGCAAGAAAAGCCCTAAATTAATTTCTTCTTCTTTCTGTGGCTTCGAGCTGAACATTCAGGGCGTTTCTTGTAAGTTCTATAGCTTTGCACAGAAAGATCATGTAGAGCTGGAAGATGTCTCATTTTAATCAGAAATGTGCCAGCTACAATTGTGTCTATTAAGAAAGGTTCTGATTATTTTTTAGAGTTTCTGAAAAACGGGTTTTCCAGAAAGCCGGGTCGTCAAGAGTCATGGAAAAAAATTCTTTTAGACTTTTTACTAGCTCGACACCCTCTATCGATCGGCGTATGAACGAACGAAATAGGAAGGTATCACTCGCATAGGTACTGTTCATTTCAGTCCATGTTCTAAAGGTAGGATGTAGAGATGAAAAGACGGAAAAGTGAAATTCCGTTAAAATCTGACTTGAGCGAAGAGTTTAAAATCTATGATTATTATTTGATGTTGTTAAGCTTTTGTATTCTATGACTAAAAGCAACTGCAACATAAAGATTACCCTGTGAATCAAATCTCATTCCTCTTAGAGAATGGAGTCGAAAAGATGAAGGCCGACCTGTACAACTGCAGTTCCTTTTTTAGAATTCAAAAGGTATTTTTGAATTCTAAAATTATTTATATCAGAAATATAAATGATTTGTTGATCTTCATCTACAATGACTGATCATGAAAAATTGAAGACTCTATCCACAAAAGGACCTCCGATTAGGTGAAAATCGTCGTTTTCCTTTCCTCCTCACATCTGTCTGGTGTTTTCGCTTGTTGGCCGTTAGCACCGAATATCCTTTATTGATGTCTATTAACGGACTGCTGCTTGATCCTTGTCCCTGTCCACCAGCTACAGTTCCGTCATTTTGTGCCTCTTTTGTCCATTTTTGTATACGATTACTGTCACGATCAGCAATATAAATATTTTCAAAACAATCGACAAAGATACCTAGGGGGTACTTTAAATTCTTACCTGCAGTTCGCCAATTACTTCCACCTGCTACAGTTATCCTATTAACCGATTTTGCTGAAAATTTTATGATACGAAAATTTAATGTATCAGATACATAAATATTTCCAATGGTATCGATAAATAAACCTGAGCAAATAAATTCCTCCTGATCTGTGTTGTTCTTATTGATAACTATTGTTAGAATATTCTCTGTTGTTGTCCATTTTAACACTTGATTGTCATTACAAATATACAAATTATCTGACGAGTGTATAAATAATGCATGTGCATTCCATAGTTGAATTCGACCATTACCAGTATCAGCTACATAAATATTACCATGAGAATCAAATAGCCACATCCTCTGGTTTATTTAATTGATTGGCAGTATTGCCTTCAACCTTTCCACCAGCAACGGTATTTGTATTTCTATTGCTTAACGAAGGAGAAAGAGTCAGAGTCTCTGAAGCGTTTCACATACAACTTGATGAACATACAAGATAAACCGTTTCGAAGAAATAAGCCCATTAGAGGAAGGTGTGATGGTGCTAATTTTGGATGTTGTAGATGTTATGGTGGTAAGCGGCAATTTAGACTTTTAGACTTTCTTCTAGAAAAAGTCAGACTAGCTGGAGAGGGCGGCAGTATGAGAGTGAGTCATCATACAAGAAGTTCAAGTTGAGGAACGGCAATGAATGTTAAATAATAGGTTAAATAATAGGCGCATCCTAGAAGTCTAAAAGTTCAAAACCATCGATCACCATCATAACATCTACAACATCTAAAGTTAGCACCATCACACCTTGATGGCCCATTATAGTCAAAAAGGTTTGCAGGTAAGTCGTAGAAAATAAAAAAAAGTTTACCTTTTCCAGTACACATCGTTCATAGCGAATGTGAAAATGTGCTTACAGACTACACGGTCTGAATCTATCTACATGTCACTCTTAAAAAAAGTCTCACATTTTGCTAACTCTCATGCAGGAAGAATCCTGTAAGATCTCTTGTATCTATTACTGAAATTGAGAATAATACCAAAAACTGTTTACTTTGCAGCACAAATATGTTTTGTTTCTCAACAGACTGTATACCACCTTGTTTTTTTCGATTCCGTGTAACTCCATTTGCAGTTATTCCACCAATAAATGCTAAAATGAGAAATGCTGTGACAAGCTGGCAGAAATGACATCCTTTTGCAGCATCCCAACATCCTCTGACACACCTGCGATAACTGTACAACAGCATTTTGCCATGTTACATGTAATAATTTTTTCGTTTGACTGTTGGCTTTATATGCGGCTAAAGTTCCCCCATGCAAGCTAAAGTTGTTCAATTTTATGGCTTTAGTGGCTTTATCTATGAAAATATTGTACTATTTACGTAAGAAACCTAAAGACCTTGATACACATATCTCGGCAGGTTGTCGCCGTAGAGTATGGGGAAGGCAAGCGCACGAGTGAGTTTTCTTGGCAAAAGTAGAGCGCGCGTCAGTATAAAAGAAAGGAGACTTTTTACATTCTTGACGTACTTTTAGAAGATTTCATAATTTTTAGGAACGGAGATGCATAAATTTCTCTCACGTTCATCATATGTATATCATTACCAAGATTTACATGTGCAGTAACTTGGAATCGTATACCAGGCATTAAAATGACGTCACCTTCAGGATTTTATAATGCTGTCAGAAATAATTTTAGGTATGGTAACCATATCTGCAGAGTATTGCGTTGTTCGATTTAATTTAAGCTGAAGTAGTTCAAAAAATATTTAGCTGCTGAAACTGACCGCAAAGATTAACAAAGCCAAAGAGACGAAAATCATAAAAAGTTCGTATTTCCTACACGAAAAGTCGTTGAGACATAGGGAATTTTGTGTGACACGTCGGGGTATACTTTTACCAGACTAACTGAACGTTCACAATTTTGTAAAATGAGGGATGTGCTCTTAAAGCTCTAAAACTGACGATTTAAATTTACGTCGATTAGTCGAGAGCCGCTTTCCTACATCAAATAATTCCGATCCTACTATTCACAAGGGTCTGTAGACTAATGTTAAAAAGAAAAATATTAAACGATTAATATTAAATATCTTTCCATCTTATCTAAATATTAGTCCGTTCAATATTTTTCCTTTATTTTAAAATAATTAAATATTTTTCTGTCCGACCAAAAACTACTGTAATATTAACGTCATTAATCGCCAGCTTTAATATTTGTTTTTTTCTGAAAAATAATTAAGTATTTTTCTATCTTACAACAAGAAAAATATTTATTAGGCCAGATAGAAAAATATTTACTTGATTTTTAATATTAGTCGTTTAATACTTTTCTTTTGAACATTTTTCGGCATACCTATTCACAATGCTTTTGGAATGTAAAGTTAACATTCTTTTTCTTTTTGCGATGAATCAAGAGCCTTTTCTCTTCGTGGATTAGAACGGTAAAGTCTTTTCACTCGTATTTTTGTAGTATGAAACCATGATGACAGTAATAATATCGATTAATCGAAAAAGACAAGACACCGTCGATTATGGTGATATAAAACTTCCATTGACTTATCACCGTTTTCGAACGTTATCTTTTGTTCGCTCTCCATACTAATGTCCTCTTACATTCCGCATTTTAAATTGTACTTACATTCAACGAGTGTCCTGAAAATATAAACTGTTACCTTCATTAACTGCCCATCGTTTCTTATTACATTGATCCATTATCTATGAAATTAAACTAGAAATAACACTTTGATTTTCAAAACTAGACTTTGTTTGAACTGAATAAACATATTTATGTCGACACTCTTTATGTGTTTTGGCTGGGATTTTTGTTTTTTATTTTCTTCTTTCTTTCTTTCTTTCGTCCCGTTTTTATTCACAATTTCTCTTACAGAACAGCCCCTCTTACTTTCGTTGTAGTATTTAATTGACCCATAGAAAATTCTAACAATGAATTTGTCTTTTCTTTGGATAGGTCAGGACTAGTAAGAGAATGGACAATCACCACTAAATTGTTTTGGTGACGTTCATATCGACTTCTTTCGCGTAGCTATGCGTATTAAGTGGATGAATTTATGCAGATTTACCCGTAGTTCTACGATTAGAAGATCGTGTTGTACTCGATGACAAATCTGAATTGATTTAAATCCTACTATTTTTAAGGAAAACTAGTTATTTCATTCAGGCTTAGAACGGCTGTATTCGAGACTGTATTTCAGAACAAGAATATCTGCGATGCCGACGGACAAAATCTCGTCCAGCCAGACTATACGGTTTACCAGAAATTCGTAAAGACAGTATTCCGTCGAGACCTTTTTTGTCAGCGACCAAGACATGTAATTACAGAGTGGCTAAATTTCTAGCAGATAGACTGTCTTTTTTGAATATTAATTCTTTGTAACGTTCAAATTATACGTATGAGCACGAAATACCAAAGTACTATATTTAGAAAAGGACATTCTCTGGATTAATAACCCCACAATGCACTGTTTAGAAGACGAACTGAGTGAAATTAGACGATTAAGTAAATTAAATGGGTATCCATCAACATTTATTGATACTTTAATTGAAAAATTGACAAATAATATTTGATTAAAACTGATAACATTGAACAGTCGGTTGCTGGTATTCTATATATCTGACAAGCGTCTACAGTTCTGAGTCAAAAATTAAAAAAATTCACAAAAACTATTTTACCTGATATTGATTTAAAAATTATTTTGAGACCATCTGAATCAGTAGATAGTAGGCATGCATCAATTCTATAATTGGTTTTTTGGTACATCTTCGAAATAATTGTATGTCTCAAATCATTTGTGACCAATTTTTATGCACAATGTAGGATTGTACCATCGACTTTTCTCTACAAGTAAGGAAGGCTATTTGGAAATTTTACTGCAGTATTAGATTAAACATTATAAACTATTTTTTAAAAAGTGGAATTAAAATTGGAATTGGTCGGAATTGGTTAATATTTTTCTTGTTTTCGCCTTCTCAGATGTAAATACAAACTTCATTATACCTAATTTTATAGAGAAAAACCTCCGAGCAATCTAATACATGCAAAAAACATATAAAACAAATAGTCTTAGAACTAGTCATTTTTTTCAATAATCTTCAAAAAAGAATTGATACATGCCTGGTAGGTAGCGTTTTCCAAAATACAAAAACTTCTACAATCAAACTTGGTTTACGGTATTATATAATTGCAAAGAGTATATCAATAGCTATGTCAGAAAAACAATTCTGCAATCAGTAAGACATTTAATTGAACATGGTGCTTCTAACAACAGGAGATTTCATCCAACTATCAAACAATGCATCTGTCGATGATAATCTTGACACTATTTCTATTCCTAAGTTATCTTCTAATATATCTTCTCAAATAATAACTTTAAATACTTAAAAAAAATCTAATAATGTTACAAAAAGTCGTTTTTCACCATATCAAGATGAAATCAAATTTAAGACTTCTCGACTTGCCAATGAACGATCTATGATAAACAAACAAGACGATGTTAAGACAGCTCGTGAGATGGAGACGGGACTACCCGACGTTACAATTTCTAAGGGAAAAGTAAAGTTAGCTCTTCTAAAACATAATTCTGATACCAATCATACGATTAATCGGGAACAATTTAATATTTTATTAATAGATTCAACTATTATCGGTCACTCATCAAAGAATCTGTAATAGTACTGGGATACAAGCCAAAACTAAATATCATAGTACGTCCGTTCCTCTTTTCATATACCGAATACAATTTCCAAAAATCATTACCAGATCCAGGAGAATAAGTCATCATTTTAACAAAATGACATCTGAAGGTATTTTTTGAGGTTTTGTACCACATACTCTGTTTTGTGTTCTAGATTTTACAAAATATGTTTTTTTTTCTCTTATGAATAATGTCTATTTCTTTCTCACTGTCACAAAAAATGTATTTTGTTCTCTCTTTTCATGTTTTTAGTCATATTCGTTGTAACTTTACATCGCGTTAAACGTCTCTATTATTTTGAAAATAAAAATTAAATTTTCAAAACGTCGGCCTTATTTTTATAAAAGAATTTTTAATTTTAATTCAATAAATCAAAATCTAAAAGCAGCTGCTGTTACTATTTTATCAATTCCTAGATGTTTTTCTGAATTGCTTTTTGCTATTCGACAGGGCTTGTCATTTTCATTTTTGATAATATGCAAAGATGCACAATCTAATAGTCGTTGAAATACAGTTTAGTTTAACCAATTTTGGAATAATTATTAATGACCTGTATGAACTTTTATTTAACAGAGAAGAAAGACAAGTTCCTACGCACGCCGATACTAAGCGAAAGAGAGTCATTTTGATCCTGTATGCGCTTGACCCACTTGGCCACACTTCTGCTTCTGCGATAGGGCTTATGGCATGACGTTTTCAGACTGGAAGCTTTCAGACAGTGGGAAACGACCAAGGATTTGCATCAATCTATCGAAAAAACAAGACAATCCTTATCTTTAATAATAACACGAATAATCACACTTTTCCACCGATGGAAGAATCCGACGAGCTGTTTCGAGAGGGAAGACAAACAGCTAGGGCCTTCGTTAACCCTGGACATTTTAATCTCCTCCGAATCACCAATCGTAATGAACGTGCTTTTGAATGTGTCGTCAAGATTAGTGATCGCGTACAAAGTGAACGAATCGGTTACGATCCGATGGGCGGTATTGGTATAGTTATATGAATACCAGTACTGTTAATTGAGGATGCGGGAATTAACGTGACTTTTGTAGCATCTTTAACCCTTGTGCAATCTGAGATTCACAAGTTCAACAACTGGCAATGCTTAATTTCAATCAATACACACAGTTCTAATGTTGGTTTTGGTTTCTTACTTGATGATGATTACATTTCACACTGTTGTTGAGAAAAAGCTGTTTTTTCGCCGTGAATTCTTATGTCCGACTGTTGTCTTGTTCAAAAGTAAAAGTCTATTAGTCTAAGCTATTTGTTTTCTTTTATTTAAGATGAGGGACTTAGCGTGGACAGTCTTTGAAAGTTACAGTATTCCAATGTGGAAGAATATGAAAGATAATGATATCCATCCGAATTAGACTCTGCACAAACATGAGATGATCTTACTTCCACAAGTTAAGTTCAGTGGATTAAAATATCTGCCTATCGCTGCCACCAAAAACAATTTTAAGAATTGTGCAATAACTTCTGAAGAGAAATAAAATTCTGAGATTTTTCTAAGACTCAAAAACAAAAACTAATTTCGATGAATTTTTCGAAAGCATCCGAAAATTTTCGATTATTACAGGTTTTCAAAATCAAAAATTCTCTCTCACCTCTTTTCATTATTGAGCTATCTTTGTGTTTTTTAATTAGTTCTTTTTATTGCGGCATGCATGATTATTTGCTGTAGTACTCAAATAAACACAAGAGCTTTTATTTCCAAGGTGAATACTGTGAATTTATTCCTCTTAACAAAAAATAAAAACAGGGGTTAAAAGAGTAGATTTTCCTGTACTTTGTGACTGAATTACTGAAACAACAAATAGTGATTCTTTATCGACTAGACCAAGTTTCATATCAAGTCCTTTAAAAATATCAGAAACAATTTTTGAATTAAATTCATTATTATAACCATCAATAATTTCAATTTTATTTCCTTTTGTTATATATTAAACATATGAATTAATATAAAGATCATATTTGAATTGTGATTAGTATTATTTTGTTTATTTAGAAGTTGTTCATCATCATAAATAGCTAATAATTCTCTCATAAAAAAAATCTTTATTAATCGTTTTATTATCCATTAATTCTGTATTTTGTCTTTTCTCATGTTTCAATTTTTCTTTTAATATTTTTTGGGTTATCAATTCATTTGAATTATTATTTTTGTTATTAAGTTCTTCAATAGCTTTTGTACATGCTGCTAATTTAGTCACAATATTATTTCTTTCTTGAAACAATGGAAATAAGATAGGACTTCGTCAAATACTTACTCGTTTGTTCATTTCATTGATTAAATGGAAATCTTGTTTTATGAATAATTTGTTATATTCATATACTAAGTCACTTGGCAGATTAGATACTTTAGTTCCAGATAAATCCTCTATTTTTTTATCTATGTGGGTTAATTTAGTTTGTTTGGTTTTTGGATCTTACATCATATAAAACTACGCGAAATCATGATTATTTCGGCTAGTGACTAATCAGAAAAACATTGTAACACTACATAGAAACGTATGGACAATAATGAATTAATGAATGAAGCAGATATCAGAATAAGATCTGTCACAGGAAAAGAATCGATTCAGATGCCATGTATATCTCTGTTAACTTATACGCATCAGTGTTTGAGCACCCTAGTCGCCGATTCTTATACAGCGTCAAATTCAGAAATTGAAAACATCGTTATATCCCATTTCAGTCTAGTTCTGGAACCTTGGAAAAGCGTTTTTCTTGTTCAGCGTCAAAAACTGCATACAGGAAAGTATATTTCAGGGTTCCAGTACGAATAGAAGTGTTCCGTGGCTGCGCAAAGTTGGTAGACGTCAATTTTTCTGACTCTCACTCGCAAACCTATCTCCTTTTTTTCCTTAAAAGATGGAACCTTGAATTTGACGCCATTCGATCCGTCTTGAAGCGTAGAACAAAGATACTTTATTCTTTTTTCGAAGTTGCTTTTCCTTGCTGAGAAAATTCATTTTTCATAACTCACGAGGGAACCGCCCGAGGTTCCCAACGCTGATTCCCTTCATTCGTGGGCCGTTTGATAGAGGGCATCGAGATAGTAAAAAGGCCTAAAAGGATTTGTGCCCACGACTCTTTCTTGAAAAGTTAGGGCCAATTTTCTGTTCTTCCCACCTAAAATGGCCAAAATTTGAAAACCTTACAATTCAGTCAACAAAGATCGTATACACTTGAAATTTTCAGCACCACAAGCTCACAAGTACTGCTGATCAATCTGAAAACTCCAGATTATTTAGTTGTTTCATTCTTGACTTACAGGATTTTGTTTATCATTTAAAAACAGGAATTCCGTAGCCTGAAGAAATCTAATTTTTGTATGAGTGCTTGAATTGTGAGGCTGCGCTATCAGAAAAGAAATCAATTTGTTTTAAATCCGGTACATGTGTTTTAAGTTCATTTAAAACAATTTCAATAGCTGAGTATCGTGAGAGACGTCATTCGATAGCAACGTAAATGAAAAACTTTGACTTTTAGACCATACATAAGCTGTAAATATAGACAGAGTTTTTGTATTCTAATGAGCACTTTGAATTTCGTCTTGTTCTTTCAATCCAAAATTTTCAGCGAAATCAACTTGTATAACAACTTTTTCATCTGTTACTTCTGACTTTAACCGTTCGAAATATTTACTTTGTTAACGCTTAATATAGACATGAAATAGAAAATATTTAACTTTGGATTTCAACAATTCAACAGCTTCATCAACTGATCCTTCAAATTCCTTTTTTTCTGCACGTCCGTTTATATTGACCCATTGCCATCATTTAATTCTAGGTGTTCCACTTACAAAATTATCAATAACTTTCTCTTGAAAATTACTTTCACATAATGGACATGCAACAAACATACATTCTTGATTGACAGTATTACAAACTAAAGTCCCAGTAAATTGTTGTAAAGATGGACAAACATTTCCTTTAACAAATTTATCAATTGCTTTCAGTATTAGATATTCTATGAGCTAGCGCTGCTTTTGGAACTACAAATGGAGGTCTTAAATCAGTAATCGATGAACGAGAAATAATTATTCCTTTATTCTCTTCTATAAATAATTCAAAACTTTCACGTAAATTATTCAAAAGTATTCTTTTGTGATATGTTATTTTAGTGTTATCATCATTTTTAACAACAATAGTACCACGTTTATCAGGTAATTGATAAGAAACATCGTCTCTTAAATAAAACTTATGAACCGCATTTTTAATCTGATCAAATGTATTGGCACATGTATGTTGTTGAACAGGTTTTGGAACAAGATTATATTTTTGAGCTAGATGTTGAATAACATCTTTCTTTTTTTTATCGCATTTTGGTACAGTGAATAATAAGCCACCAACGCCAATTGACGCTGAGGAGGAGATCTTTAATCAATCTAAAAACGAATTATCATCACTCTGGGAAAAGTGCAAAGTCGATGATGAATTAGATTTTATTAGCACAGCAAGAATTCAACGAAGATATGGAGGCTTTACAATCAATCAAAGACTATTTGATAGAAATAGATTTTAGTAATTTCAAAAATGATTCATGAATAATGATAAAATTAAAGGAATTTCCAAAACCAAAAAAGCTGATCTTGTTGATCGTCTACATGACGAATTTAAAAGTGAAATCGTCAGATTGCTTGAACCGTTAGACGTTTTACCAAAAGTTGACCAAACAAAACGTGAATCATTTGTATTAACACTTCTTAAAAGCAATAATGAGAATATTTCTGATATTGTTAATGATGTTTTGCAAAATATTCTGGTTGGTATAAAAATAAAACGACTTATTCAAAATATTTAAGACAAACAAGTTCATCAATCATTTTATTTTTATTTTTTTTTTCTAAAAAACAATACAGTGAAGCTTTCGACTCCTTTCATAGGGTCATTTTCAACACTAAATTTTTAAGAAAGAGATTACATATATATATACATGAAAAAACAGTTATTTTCTTTTTCTTTTCTTTTCTAGTTTATTCTTAAACATTGCACTACGAAGGGAAGAAATGATGTAATCGTAGTACAATGTTTCTCCCCTTCCTTTTATCTTCATTTGAATATAATTAGTTCATGGGATATTGTGTTGTATGAACATTGCACTACGATGACATCATTTCTTCCCTTCGTAGTGCAATGTTTAAGAATAAACTAGAAAAGAAAAGAAAAAGAAAACAACTGTTTTTTCATGTATATATATATGTAATCTCTTTCTTAAAAATTTAGTGTTGAAAATGACCCTATGAAAGGAGTCGAAAGCTTCACTGTATTGTTTTTTAGAAAAATAAATAAATAAATAAAATGATTGATGAACTTGTTTGTCTTATTATCTCATTATTCAACTACATTTCATCAAATAATGTCAATATTTCAAAATATTTAATCAAATGAAAAGATAAAAACAATCTGGAATTCAAATTTATCGACAAAATCAAACGATACTACGTCATCAGAGTCAATTGATGTTACAATGGAAACTATATTAAGTAAATATGATTTTACTAGTCTCTAGTCTATGTCATTTGTTCTCTCTCCTCCTTTTATGATGTAGACTCTCCTAGAACTCTCCTACTGATATAAACAAGATAGTCTTACAATTAAAATCAAATTTTCCAGAAGGACTCAAGTTAATAGAAGATGAAGTTACACCGAATGATTATAAAAAAGTAAAATCAGAATTAGTTGATAATGAAAAGCTTACAAATATAACCGTTCACTGGGACACAATCAGTTTGCCGTAATCTTCGGAAATTGCATAATGTAAAACCGATTATATTCAAAAGGCAAACTGTCCATCTGTATGGACACAAATAGTGGGGTGTGGGGTAAGATACCTTGGTCACTTCTTTTTTGTGAAAATGACGAAGTGCACGTCTTATATACTTTGGAGACAAAGAGAGAGCGATAGAGAAAGAGGGAGACAAGGAGAGAGAATAAAGAAAATGTCGTTGATTTAGAAAACAGCAGCAGAGAAATTGTTGGGACTTTTTGCTTTTCGCTTTCTTTTGTTTCGTCTCTCGAAAGTTTAGGCAACAGATTCGACGAGAGGTCATCGCCTTTTCTTTAGTAGAAAACAAAGTTGAAGAAAAAGGCGAATGTTTTTTTGTTGTATTGGAAAAAAATCTCTTCTCTCTATCTCTCTTGTTGTTGAAAAAGTCGCCACTTCTTTTTCGAATAGAAGAAAAAATAGTCGAAATATCAAACGGCAACAATGAAAGAGGTGATTCTTTTTACAAATCTTGTTGAAAATTGTACATATTATGATCGATATTGCTGTTAAGAGGCCAAGTGTGCGATACCACAGAAAATTTAGCAAAATTACAGGAATTTTGCGCTATCATTGTGACACTTCAAAAGGTTACAGTCTACTTACGACTCGAGTCTTTCTAATGGATGAGTTATAGATAGAAATTCTCCCGCCCTATGCAGAATTTCATTGCACGAGGTTCAGAGATGGACAACTCAAGTCCTTTTTATATCTGACTTGGTTTAACTTGAGGTTCGGAAAAGTGAGATTTTGACTTGGCCCTTTCCAAAAATGACTTAGCTTAATCTGACTTGACCTAGGTAAATAAAAACCGAGAATGATTTTACTCTGTCAGTCTCAAAGAGTCAAATCAACATCTTTTTTGATTTTCTGGCGCAGGAAACTGAGATTTTTTGCAGAACATTTTCTCTCGTTTCTTATGCAGCGAAACGCGAATTCAAATTCCCGATACTGAGAAAATTAGTAAGAAAAAATTGTCAGTTTCCTAAAAAACAACATGATTTAGTTTGTATTTCGAATATCATACGACATTTTATTCGAAGGAAAAAAACTAGATGACAAACTTACAGGATTTTAATACTAATGGAGAATATATACAAAAATATGTCTATTAGTCTTTCTTTTCTCGTTTCTTTTTCTTTTGCTGCTCATTTTGTACTACTTGATTGCCAGTAAATCTATTCACATTGTTTGTTGTTTTTAAAAGGTCTTCATTTTTCGTATAAGTTCCCGTATAGTCTCCTTTACCATGATTAGGGAGTCGTGTATAATCATGACCACTTGTATGTCCAGAAAATTTAAACCGTCCTTGATCATTAGCGTCGTAATCAAATGTTGCTCTACTAGCTCCTCTTGAGGGGTCATTCGGTGTTTTAACATCAACGGCCACTTGTCCAATCTTGTCTCCAGTAAGAAAATGAGCTTTTTCTTGGTTCATATAACCAATATCAGTTTTTCTGACAGGTGGATTATTAGTGCGAAAATCTTTAATTGCTACTTTTTTTTCTGTAACCAACGAGTCTATCTGTTGTTGATGTTGTCTGACAGATTCAATGGCCTTTTTACCTAGTGCAGCGTCTCTCAGATCAATCTGTGACTGAATTCGTGAATCGTAATTCTTCGTGATCGACTCTTCTCCTTTTTTGTAATTGGTATATGCAGAAGCTGTTGCACTTTCTCGATTTAATGTATCTTGAGGTATCTTCTTCAAATTTTTATATCCATCCATTACTTCTTTTCTAGCTTCTTCAGGTACCTTTTCTTCAATCAGTTTTTTGTTTGATTCTTCATGTAGCAAGTTATTTTTCCCACCGTTTACACGATAAACTCCATTTTTTATTGCTTCTTGACCTGCTGTCATGATTGCGCTACTTGCAGCACTTTTTACAGTTCGCCCGACGTCATACTCACCTTGATTTCCAGTAGCTATATTGATTCCTTGAACTGTTGCGTCACCCACTGCCGCAGTTGATCCACTAACAGCAACGCGTGTAACACTTCGAGTAACACCCGATGGGATCGATTTTGTTAAATTAGAGCTAACATGACTGCCTGCTCCACCAAAACCTCCTACAGCAGCACTTGTCACCCATGAAACTGCTGTACCTTTTTCTTTACCATTTTCATCAAAATTTTTTCCAAAATCCGACCATTCTTTATCAGTCGTTGAACACTGTTTAACTTCATCTATTGTTTTTGATACAACACCGGCTACAGCACCCGTAGCAGTTCGCACAGCAAGCTTTTTTACTCCAGCTTTTGCCACTTCTTTCGCACCCTGTTTAACCACATTCGCCGCAACTGTTTCACCAGCAGCACCGATACCGCCAGTTGCAACTCCAGCTACCGCACCGAAAGCAACATCTGCAGCATATGATTTACCGTCTATTCTTTCACCTTTAATTGCTTTTTCAGTTCCATTCCAAGTAGAACTAATACCAGCACCTAACATTGCTCCACCGAGAAGAACCGCGCCCAAGCCACCTGTGCATACAGTTACAAAAATACCACCAACTGCTAATGCTGCTCCACCACCAATAGCCGCAGCTTTTTGTGTCACATCAGCACCATTGCCAACGTTACATTTGCAATCGCAGGACCATTCATCTTGGCATTTGCTATGATAACCTTTTTTACAATTAGAACATATGTACACCATTATAAAATCTGAAATACCAGAAACTATTATATATTTTAAAGAGTTAGGGATTTATTCTGTTCGAAATCAGCTGGCTATCAATAAATAACTAAAGTCATGATCTACCTCTGTTATTATAAACTTCCGTACTTCTTATATATTACAATAACAGCTCACTAAACTGGGAAAAATCACTGTTACTAGATAAGGAAGGAAAGAACAAAAGTTTGACGTTTTGCCTTTCTTTTGTTGATCTTTAGGCGCAAGAGAAAAACTAGCGTTATTTCGCTTTCGATTTCGCATTTTTTCTTATATATAATTCTTGCGTTCTTTCCAGCATAGTTATCGAAATATCCATTACATTTCGTTATCACTTATAACGACAGAAAATAGGAAGAAAGAGAAAAAAGAAAGCGGCTAACGTTCTAAGCGATAACAAACGATAAGATTATCTGCCCAGTCGACAAAGTCCAAGTGATCCGTTTCTCCTTTTAAAGTGATTTAAAATCACATATTCTACCATCGAATCGAAAGTCATGTCCAATTTTACCACAGCTCATTTTCCTTGCTCCTTTCCATCGAGGTAACTTATCAGTCATTTTTGATCTAATCTGTTTCACGTAAAAGATGCGAGAAAGTAAATCGATTTCACATTCTTCTCTCCTTACAGCTATTGATTTGTGAAAAATACAGACATGCTCTTAAAATGCCATAAGAATAAATAGCTCATTTTCATGAAAGCTTCCAATAATATCTACCTGGAGAAATGAAAGTCTATAGACCAAGCGTTGTTTTGCGTTTCTTCGAATTAGACACGCGTTTTTTCACAAAAAAAAACCGCGCGTCCCTGAAATTGACACTTATAGGCGTTTCTGTCATGCTGAGACGCATATCTGGCATATAAAAGCGCGTAGAAAAACGAATACGTGTACGCGTTTTAACGCGCTTGTGCAAAAAAGAAACGCGCTTTTATATGCCAGATATGCGTCTCAACATGACAGAAACGCCTATACGTGTCAATTTCAGGGGCGCGCGGGTTTTTGTTTTTTACAAAACGCTTGTCTAATTCAAAGAAACGTAAAAAAAACGCTTGGTCTATCGACTTTCATTTTTAGTGGGTAAGTCAACAAGAAAGAAAGATAAGAGTTCGAAGTAAAAAAACCCGAAATAAAGCACGTGGGCCATCATGTCTGAATCTTTTTTAAATGAGCACAAAATAATAAAAAGTATCGCGCGCGAGAATGGCAGACAGCAGGCGTTTATTACTTCACATAGTATGAGTATGTAAAAACATCGTTTTTCTGTGGCCGTTCTTCATCTATTTTGACAATTTTTTTGTTTTTATTTTAGACTTTATGACGTTCGAACTTGGTTTTGATTGTGCTTCCTCCAGCTGCAAAAGCCTTCAATAGAACGCTAGTGGTTCTGTTGATTTTGACTCGGTCCTGGCGACGTTTTTATCGAAGTTTTAGTCTTATTCAACTATTATATTCGGTATCTGACAAAGTTAATGAATCAGTTGAGTTTTTTTACATCCTGCCAACGCCGCTCAAGTTAGCAGGAACATACAAATTTAAACTAGAAAGCTTCTTCTCAGCTGGAGCAAAGAGGAACGGCAGTACGATGGAAATCTTTTGAATTTGTATGAAACTACTTGTCTTGAACTCATCGTGAAGATAAAAATGAATTCGCAGTTTGCACATACGAGTTGAATGTAATGTGCAAAGTGCACGTAATCTGCAGATTTTTTGACCTAGAGGAAAGATCTTTTCCCTTTTGATCTACTTTAACAGCAACGAAGTTGCAAAATTCTCAGATTTTGCATTCGAATTGTTTACGAAGTGCAAAGAGCAAGCAGTTTGCAGATTTTTCGTCATAGGAATGAAAGGTTTTTAATTTTGATAGTCAGCATAGCTCTAATCTGGTATAATAATTTGATTAACACGCTTTCTGGGAATTCATGCGTCCGCAGCGAAGTGCATTTGCGAATTAGCTGACTCCTCAACCAGTTGTGTTTTCGAATTCGTAAAACGCTGAGAACCCAGGTCCAAAAAAACGGCCAGTTAATGTCCAGTAAACGGTCACAACGGCGCGTTAACGAAAACGGCAAAAAAACGCCCAGTAAACAAGTCGTTAACTTGCCGTTTTCAATGTGGCCGTTTCACGGTCCAAAGATCGTCTGAAAACGTCCATGGGTAGAAAACGGTCAGTTAACGGTCACCGTTTACTGACTGTTTCCAGACTATTTATTATTCACACCGAAGTTCGCCATTAACTGGCCGTTAACAGGCAGTTAACGGACCGTTTTTAGGCCGTTTTTTAGGACTTTATGCTAAAGTGATTTTAGAATGATTTTGAATGTTTCATGACACATAGAGTACTTGGGGGTGATTAGAGACACTCTTGGAAATTTCGTTCTGTTTTTGCCATTTCTTGGCCGTTTTTGATCGGAAAAGCTTGCTATTG